GGTTTGGTCGGTGGCTGGGAGGGGGAGACGCGATGGGGTGGCCAGGGGAGAAGGTGCTTTGCTTTAGTTTTGGTCTCTGGCGAGTGCATTGACGCGTGTCGCCAGGGACGTCGAAGGGTCTTTTTGCGCCTTGGGGAGGATCGAAATGACACGCCAGGGTAGGCAGGGCGGTCGCACGTGCCATCGTCAACGATGTCGTTTCCCGCCACAGAGAAGCGACGTCAAGGGCGGTCCATCTGCGAGAGAGTACTTCAGTCGTGCGCTTCCCAACCCGCATGAATGTCGTCCTCACGAGGGTGTCTCCAGTACAGAAGCCCGCCGCGCCTGCTGGACACTGATTGTAACGACGCGGGAGTGGTACATGCCTGCTTGCTGCGGAGAAATGTTGCTTGCTCGCCGCGGATAAATGTCGCCTGCTCCCCGCGGACATCTTCAGTGCCGTGGAGGACCGCCGCCGACGCCATTCTAGCCATATCGTCACGTGGACGATCTTCGCTGGAGTCGTCATCCTTCTAGCGTGCACGTGGACGCCGACCGTCAATCGTTGGTGGCCGCGAAGCACTGTCACCGTCGCTCTTCTATTCTTCTCGCCGCCAATCTTTTTTCCGCGGAGCACTCTCGCCGAAGTCATCGTCCTTCTGTCCACCGCGTGTACATCGTCGTTTTCTTCCCCCAGAGGACAGTTCTTCTACGTCGTACGGGCGTTCTTCCTCATCACGCCGCAACAGCACGGGAGACATTTCTCTCGCCAGATCGGCGGGACTTCAAACGGCGGTCAATGAAGGACTTCCCGCTCATCCGATCGGACCGCCAAGCTCACCTGCAGAGGTCGCGACGAAACATGTCTACGTGAGGGAGCGCCCGTGGGAAGAAGCGCGACGGAGTCCCTGACGACAACCAAGGGCAGGGAAGAGGTCGCCGACATGTCCCGAAGGCGAAGAGGGTGCGTTCGGATGATGCGTCCGCAAGGGTGCCTCCTCGTGTAGCGCAAGGTTGGGCGGCAGCAGCGGGAGGGGACTACAACGAAGACTTCATGACGGAGGAAGAGCAGAGGCGACCACGTCTGCAGTACGGGAGAGCGGTCGGCAGCGCTCTTCGGATCAATGCGCCTCCGAAGAGGATGCTAACCCCTCCACCCGAGGCGCAGCAACTGCGTGCCCGCGAAAGGCGGACAGAGAAGGCTGTCGTCGTCGATCTTGGCGGCGATGATGACGAGCCCTTGGAAAAACGTCGCCAGCGCACTTGTACAACAGCGACCCCACCGCCGACAGTGGTGGCACGCGCTGCGGTAGACGAAAGGCCAGTCAAGGGTAGACTGCCCGCCACGCCGTCTCAGCCACGCCAGCGCAACCCGGGTGATGACGGAGGGTCAGTCCAACGCGGCGGAGGGCGGGAAGTCGTGGCAGACACGCGCGAAGTTGAGGGCGAGACGGCAGGTGTTGCTGGTGCGGGTGCTTCAGGCACTGTGGCCCCCGTTGTGACGGCGAGAGAGGAGGCAGCAGTTGTGGCGACGACGAGAGAGGATGCCCGTGGCAAGAAGAAAACCGATCGGGAGGGCGGCGAGCCCGGTTCAAGCCGGGTACGTAGGGGAGTGATGACGAAAGACCTCATCGATCGTGTCGTCCTTTGGGTTGATGACAAAGCTTTCTGGATGACGGGGGAGGGGCGAAGACTTTACAACATCGTCCACGAAACAAGAGAGTACTTTGTCGCCAGCGCCAGTGGACTTCCACCGCCTGCCGTCCCTCGGAGCGTCGTACTGCCCAAATCCAGCACGAGGGTAGCCAGGATCGCCGACCAATCACAGCTGCAGCAAGCGATCTCCCGTGCGACGGCAGTGGAGAACATTGCTCTGCGCATCTTGCACGAGTAGGTATTCAAGTCGGGGGAACGCCCAAGGCGGTACAATATGGCTTTCCAGTACTCGCTGGAGTCCGTAGCGACGCACATTGCACGTGCTATGTGGTACGGCGAGGAGTGGTGCAACGTCGTCAGCCCGGCGGTTTGCGCGCACACGATAGATTTGTCCATGGATTTGCCACCGTGGTTCGTCGGTGCGAACATCGAGGACAGACCGGACGACGACAACATGGCGGCGCACCAGGAGTCCACCGTAATCTGCGTCGCGCATGCGTTCCGCGCGGCGGTGCAAATGGGTGCGCTCATCGACGCCGATTTCATCTCCCACGATCGTATTTGTCGGGTGGCTGACTGCTTCAGGCTGTTGTTGGCGGCGTGCATGTGGATAATGCGCATGGCGGGAGACGATCCGCGCAGCCACTACGAAGCTTTCTACTTCGCGAGCCTCGTGGCGAAGCCCACACTCGTCGCAGCCATGCATTGCTCCTTCGATCATCGAAGATCCGTCGTCCGCGCCGCAAATGTCGTCACGGAGAGGCTCGGGAAGGCGAACGCCACATTGGGAGAGTACCCCGACTACATCCCTCAATGGGCGCCCTGCGGCATTGGTTTCAGGCACGACGCGAGCGCAACGGGGCTGGAGGATGCGAAGAAGTTAGATTGGTTGGGTTCGGGGCTCCCCGATGATGACAACAACAACAACGGAAAAGATGACGCGTAGGGGGTGGCGGGGTGGCGGGGTGGCCGGGGTTTGTGTGTTGGGGGGGGGGGAATGCTTGTGTGAACGTGGCCTGATGTACACGTGGCTGGTCGTGACGGGCTTCACTGTGGTTGGACCGTTGTGAAGTGCGCACCTGTTTAGAGTGGGGCTGGAGGCGGGACTTGCCAGAATGGTCGTCGGTTGCGTAGATGTTTAGCGCGTCGGCTGTGGCACAACGGCGGTTTGATTGATGTTCATCGTGTATATTGCGTTTAGTGGAGCTGTTTAGTGTGTCAGTCGTTGGAGTCGACGACGAGTTCATTGAATTCATTCGTGTATTGTTATCATGGCAGTTCGCTGCACAAGAAATTCATAGCGCTTTTAGCGCACCTTTTTTTTCTCTCATGTGTCCACTGCTCTCGTCTCTTCGGTGGAATGATTCAAACATGATTGCCTCCTATGCATGCACACAATCCATGTTTACCTTTCTCTGTTTGTATTTGTCGTTTTTAACTTACGTTAAGCAGCTTTCATCAATGATTTCAACAGCCTTGTTTGACGTCCCACCACACCACTAGACGAAAACATGCGTGACAAACGAATTGAAGAGAGACAAAAAAATAACAAAGAAAAAAAAAAAGAAATGAAGAGATTAAAAAAAAAAAAAAAACCTTGGCAGCACACGACACCATTGAAAAAAAACGATTTAAAAAAGGAGAAAAAAAAAAAAAAAAAAAAAAAACCATTTTCAAAGAGTCACACAAAAAAAAAAGGTTATTCCAATATTAAATGTTCGCACAACTGTGCGGACCACGCAACCGTCCACACAATGAAAACAACAAAGGAACTCATCCACGACAACCATGCCGCCATTCAATCCACCCAGCAACTTCGCGCACGACAACCATGGATATGGGCCACGTCACAATTCCTCCCGCCTACCGATCGCACCAACCCACGTCCTTCCGCTTCACCCCCCCCCCCGTCCGCACGTCAGAGCTAGGCGGTCTCGAAGTGCATCCCGCAACAAGTCCCCGTCCACGTTCGTGCTCCGTCGCCGCCCGCCCGCACCGTTTCCCACGAACGCCGTTCTCATCCACCTCCACAAAAGGTTCTCATCGAAGTCGATCCCCACGTCGAGGAGGATGTTGTGGAGAGTGCACACGACCACAAATTGCTGTGGCAAGGTGTCCAAGTTTGTCTTGTGGGTGTGCAAGAACAGACGCCACATGCACTTCAGTCGCCCGAATGCCCTCTCCACACACCCCGCGCCACCTTCTGCCGCGTGTCGAAGCGCTCCTCGTCAGGATCTTGGTCGATTCCTCCGTACGGCTGCACGATCCATGGACAGGTGACTGGATAACCGTTGTCGCCTAGCAGGTAATCTCGCGTGACGACACCGTGCGGGAGATTCTCCGGAGGTGCGTCGAAGAGCTCGCCAGCTTCTGCACGCCTCCACAGCTGGGAATTGTGCAGGACACGGACGTCGTGCACACTTCCCGCGTATCCGACGTGGACGTCGAGGATCCGCATATCCAAATTCACCACCACCTGCACCTGCACGGAAAACTCTTGTTTGCGGTCGTAGTAGTTTTCCGAAGGTGCGCCGACGGGCTTGTCAATGTAGATGTGTGTATAGTCGATTGCGCCGAAGCAGTTTGGGAAACCCTTGTCACGGAAAGCGCGCAGAATCTGTGCAGGTCTACGGCCCACTGGCCACTTTATCGCATCGGGTACGCCTGATCGGAGCGGTTCGAACCCGCCCGACTCACCCTACTTGGACGACGTCACCGGCCATCATCAACATCATCGTCGAGGTCGTCGTTGCCGTGCCATGTCATCATCGTCATCATCGCAATCGTCGTCATTGTGCCCCGCCATCATCGTCATCGACGGGATCGCCGCCGTCGTGCCACGTCATCATCACCGTGCCCATCGTCCTGGTCGTTGTGCCGCGCCGTCCTTGTCATCCCCGTCGTTCCCGTCACGCAGATAAGTAATCAACGACAATTTTTTTTTATTTTTTTTTTTTCTCCTTATTTTTTTTTCTTCCTCGTTTCTTTTCTTTTTCTTCTTCTTCTTTTTCTTTTCATCATCAGTTTCTTCTTCTCCTTCTTCTTTTTTACGCCCCCCCCTCTCTCTTTCCCGCCACGCTCTACACCTTCGCGCGCGCCGCTTCTTCCCCCCCCCCCTCGATCCTGTCTCTTATACACATCTAGATGTGTATAAGAGACAGGGTTGAGGATCTCGTTAGACACTCCTAAAAGTGCCTGTTTTTAGGATTGCGTCTTCGTTGCACGCAATCCTAAATCCAATTTTGAGATCGAAAATGTGAAAACGGCGTTACGACGAGTCCTAAAGGATTTAAGGATTCCCCAGGCAAAATCGTCCTAAATTTTCCAGTAGCCCCTGACCTACTGAAAAATTTAGGATTCCCGCGTTTCACGGAGTCGTTGCATCGTGCGCATGGCACCGTCGACACGGGGTTGCTGGTCCAGGAGCGGTCCGTCTGGTGGGTGGTCGGACATCGGAGGTTTTCCGCGGGTCGAGGCCGGCAACGGCCGCCAATGGTAGCCGTTGGCCGACGCGGTGGAGCGCGGGGGGGGGCGACCGTGGGCGGGGTGACGTCCGTAGTGGACCGTTGGCTCGGTTGCGGGTAGCGGAGGAGGACGGCGACGTGCGCGGGATGACATACGGAGGCGCTTCGGGTGGTGCACGGGCGGCAACGGTCGGTTTTTTGAATCGCAGGCAGGCGCCTTTGTCGTCTTCGTTGCTGGTTGTCGGCATATGAAGGTCGAGCGGCCCTATCCCCCGGCATGTCCGAACAGTCGTCTGCAGTAGTCGCATGCGAGAGTGGCTCCCGAGGTGAATTTCAAGGCTGACGTGCAGAGGAGATTGCCTCTACTGGTACTCGCTGTCGTCGTGTTCCTGATTGTCGTCTTCCGCCACGTGTGTTTGTCGTGGCGGCCGTGGAAACAACATCGCAAGAGGCTGGCGTCGACGAAACGGGCGGCAGGGGAACGTCCGGTGGCGGGCATGCAAGCATGCGCAGGTGTTGGTGCAGGTCAGGGCGGAAGACGACCTACAACTGCGGAGCCTCCATGGCGGTACGACCCATCTTTGTACAGGCATCTAGAGTCATGGGAGACACCACTGCCCCCGTCGGACGAGGAGCCGGAGACGGAAGAACTTCCAACGTTGCCTCTTGCCAGCGGGTCGACACAGCTGTTGTCGCAGACGGTGCAAGCAGGCGGGTCGACTAGCAACGAAGGCGGCGAGTTCACCTCACTGCTGCACCAAGGCTTGGGAGACGACGACGACGGCGGAGTTGATCTCAGGTTCGGGTTGTGTTCTGGCGGCGCTAGGGAGGCGAGCCGTACGTTCATCATCGACACCGATCCTTCGCCACGTGGCGTTCAACATGTTGTTCGTAGTCGATCCGTTGGGTGTGGCGGCAGAGGTGGCGCCAGCGACGACGGCGGGAAGTCTGCGACGTACCGGTCTCCGGAAGACCAAATGCTCCTGGTGAGATGCAAGCGGGAGCAAGACATGCACCTCGTCGGGCTGGGTCACAATTACAGTCGGATGCAGACCAAGGAGTGGAAGTGGGACGACATTGCGAAGCGCATGGCGAACGCGGGGAGGCCTAGAGACGTGGACGACTGCATGAAGAAGTGGGACAATCTCTTCCAAAACTACAAGAAGATACAGAGGTTTCAGAATGCGAGCGGCCAGCCAGATTTCTTCAGGCTATCAAATGAAGAAAGGAAGGAGCACAACTTCAAGTTACGGATTGAGAGGGTGTTGTACAACGAGATCCACGCAGGCATGGTGGGCAACCACACCATTTTCCCTCCCAACGTCGCCGACACTGGAAGTCCGGACGGGGTGCAGCTGCCCAGGCGAGGAGCGGGTGGTGGGGAGTCTGTTGGTAGTGAGGCCGGTGGTGAAGGTTTCCCTGAAGAACGTTCTTTTGCGAGGGGCTCCGACAACGACGCAGGCAGTGGGGCTGGAGGCGGGAAGCGGAAGAATGCGCGTCAACAGGCGTTGGAGTCGATCGCTGATGTTATGGACCGCCATGGCGAACTGATGTCGTCGACGATCGAATCGTCTAGCAAGCGGCAATGCAGCATATTCACGAGGCAATGCAACATACTCGAGCAGGAAGTTGCAGTCCAAAAAGCGCACTAGGTGGCGTCCGATGAGACGCAGAGGATGATGTGCCACACACTTATGGAGATCGCTGCCGCCATCCGTGGTCGGTCGCCGATGTAGGGCTCATTCAAGTCCAGTCATTGCGTTAGTAGTTGGGTAATTTTTATTTTTATTTTTGTCGTTCACGTTTTTTTCTATCGAGGCAGACGGTGTGTGTGTGTGTGTGTTTGTGAGTGTGTGCGGGTGTCGTCCACACAGTTGTGTGGGTGATGTTTTTTTTTTTTTTTTTTTT